AGTGGGCCCGGTGACGTTTTGCTTGACTCTAAAAGAGTTTATTAGATCAGTAAACGCTAATGCATAATGCTAAAGTTTATATGTAAGACTATATGTAAACATATTTTATGTGAAATATCTTATTCAGGTCAGTACTAAATAAACAATAACTTGCATTTTTTCTTGCATTTTTTTATGATCGCTCTTATTTTGGTAAAATAATTAACATTTTGCAGATTCTGCAAGGTGTATGTAAACTATTGACTTCAACTGTAAATAAACATTTAATTAATTTAAATAATACTTACAAAAAACTGCATTGTGACAGCAGTGCCCTTCCCAGAGTGCAAAGACAAGTGGACCACACTGTAGAGCTACAAAAAATCAAGTACATTTTAATTCAATAATGTGTTTGCCTACTTGTTGACGATGTATGGGCTAAAATCACATAGACTGTGTTGCCTATAGCGTTACATGTGTGTTTCATGCACTCCAACAATACATCAAAGTTATTTAAAACATCATATGCTTGACATTGCTTGAAGATTTTGGCATGCATCTTACTTGACTTTGGTACACAATTCCTGGAAGCTGAAAACATCCCAGTTCTTGCATGGCCAGCATACTCACCGGACATGTCACCCATCTATTTTCCGTGTCCACTTTTCTTTTCTTCTCACTCGCCATGTTTTTGCTGTCACATCGTGTTACTTAACTCACGGAGTTTCGACTATAGCTTTGAGGGAGGAGATTATAACGTTCGCTGGCTAAACTTGCAGTTTCATACCACACTAAAAATCATGTACGCTAGAATAAAAACATATAATAACCAAATTAACTTACCGAACTTGCATAAATCCTCCATTCTGCTTCTCTCTCCGGTCAGCAGCAGCTGTGCTGTCTGTGATGTGACGTCAGGTGGCGCGCTATTTTAGCAATCCCGTGTTATTGCCTGGTGCATTACAGTCAGGCTACAGCAAGGTTACAGCAATTAAAATATTCCCGCCAAGTCAAAATTACCCAGAATGCAATATAAATTACAGTATTTTACTGTAATGGATAAATGTGGTATTGTACTGTAGGTTTTTACAGTAGTGTGCTGGTAAAGCTACAGCGATTTCTAACATTGTACTTCAGAGTAGGGTCTAAAACAGTTCTATAGGAACTACCAGTGATGTAAGTGCACGCTGATTGGCCAAACGCACACGAAACTCCGGCTACCCGGCATTTTTAAAAAGCCATGTAAAAATATTTACTCCACGAACATGGAATCAGCGATAACGGCATTTACCTGTTGTCTGCAGTGTTATGTTCTTTTCTCAGCCTCGATGATAACACTGCAAGTTGTCATAGGATATTTAGTCAGACTTTCATGCTCTTTCAATCGTGTAAATTGTGCGTTTACATTCCATCTCCGTTATCATGAAACCCACGACACACAACAAAAACAGCTCAGAATATAGCGTCCTCCATTCACCGGTTGTTGATGTTTCTAAATGCCGCGAATAAAGACGTCGCTGTCGGCCACTTCAGAGCTCCTGCTGCTGGTGCGAATGCAAGGGAGAAATTGGTTCTCTAGAACGGAGTCCCTAGACATATGCGGTGCAAAAGCACCTATAGACATAATCATCTGTTCAAGCTATTTTTATTGCCACACCATCGGGGTGATCATATCTTCAGCAACATCACTTGATTATAGCATGGGAATGGGAGTGAGCCACTGAGAACCATCTCACTCAATGGGGTCTCTGAACTTCCTTAGCATACTACAACTAATTTTATTGGTAAATTTCAATCAGTAGCAACTTCATTTACATAATGGCTGGTATTGTTTTACAGACAGCATAAAAGGTTTCTAAAAGATGTCGGGGGCATAGCCTAGCAGCACTTTGGGTGACACAAGTTCGAGTCCTGGCTTGAGGTCTTTTGCTGACCCTGTTCCCCTCTCTCCTCCCCCAGTGCTTCCTGTCTACTCTTGCACTGTCCTTTTTTTACATTGTAAATTTTAATTAAGAATGTGTGCATGTACTAAATAAATTACAAAACTAAAATGTACAGCTCAAAATAACGTTCGATTACACCAAATTGATTACACCAAACTGATTCAGAGGTAGTGTCTTCACAGCCAAGCAAAGAAATAGTTATATGTAGTATATAGTAATTTAGTATAAATATGACAAATGTTAAAGTAATTTAGAATCTTCTGGTAAAGGAATGGAGAATGGACTTTATATTCAACTGGACTATAAGTTAATATCAGTTTGATGATCTCTTCAACCGTATTCATGTGAAAAAATTGAGAATTTTAAATGTTTGTTTGAAGATTTTATTTGATTTTGAGAGAGCAGTTTATCTTTTTCAAAAGTGTATTTGAAGTTTGATGTTTTGTATTTTTATTTTTTATTGTTATGTAAAATGTATGTAAAATCTTTTGTTCTTGTAGTCTGGATCATGGAGGAGAGTTCAGGATTACAACAGGACTACAGAAATGTAGGTCACATGCTGACAAAAAGTCCTCTTCTGTTAGCCCTGTACCCCTTAACCCCACACCTACCCATAAACAGTTAGTTGGGGGGGGGTCACACACACACATCATAATCATTATCACTTTGTTGTGTTATTATTTTCTCTTATTGTTTACCTCTTGTTTTTTGTTCAGATGCATGTGTTCTCGCAGTGGATTTAAACACAGCAAACACTCATCTCGCTCTGACTGAGAGCAACAGAAAGATGGCATGTGTGAGAGAGCAACAGCTGTATCCTGATCATCCAGAGAGATTTGATAGATGGTGTCAAGTTCTGTGTAGAGAGAGTCTGACTGGACGCTGTTACTGGGAGGCTGAATGGAGCGGTGGGTTTGGGGTTTATATAGCAGTGACATATAAAGGAATCAGCAGGAAAGGAGAGACTAGTAACTCTATATTTGGATTAAATGGAAAGTCCTGGAGTCTAGACTGTAATGAAAACAGTATCACTGCCAAACACAACAATCAGAGCACAGGCATATCTGTCCTGTCAAGTCCCTCTAAAAGAGTAGGAGTGTATCTGAACTGGTCGGCCGGCACTCTATCCTTCTACAGTGTCTCTGACACACACACACTCACACACTTACACACATTCAACACCAAATTTACTGAACCCCTCTATGCTGGATTTGGGGTTTATTTTGATAGTTCAGTGTCTCTGTGTGAGATTAAACAGCGTCCTGTGAAAAACAACTAAGACACACAGTCTTCTAATCTTAATTTCAGTCAGTATATAGAAACACACACATATTGACTTTATTGTAAACGCAACATTCCACTGACGACTTTTGTGTTTTGTTGGATTACATAATGCAACGAGTAATGTTCAATCTTCTGGCCAATCCCCACACATTAGAAATCTGAATAAAACATGTGAACTGGAAATTCCTTTCGATGATCTGCTTGTAGAGTCCTTACAGAGAAGACACGACAAGGCCGTCAAAAAGAGAAGAAGGAACTCATCTCCACAGCTAAAAATCTGATTCGGTTAATTCATCAACATGAGCGTATCAACATGAGCGTATAAATAAGCGATTAATGAAAAGGGTGAAACAATTAATTGAAATGAAGAACTTAGGCAAACAAGGTGTGACAAACATCTCGGGTGAAGTCTGTACTCGCTGTTATTTTTTATTTATTGCTTATGAGTTTCTGTTTTTAATAAAGCAAAACCATTTCATATGGTGATACGTTTAAACCTCTCTTAAAACAAGACTCGGAGTGATTTATTATTAGTAACCTATTATCTGAACCTGAAAAAGACTTCTGTCGAGCCCAAAGCTGTCCGGACCTGACTGAGTGAGCGCGGACATCTTTGTAGGATTTCAGATCTCCCAATCTGAGAGGTAAGGGCAAATCTACTGATTTGGAATTGGCTTTTTGGGATGGTAGAGAGGTAAATTAGAGTTTTTGGGTATCCAGACGATTAATAAATACAACATGGCGACCAACGTGTGGGACTTGAATATTAAGGAAGAAAATTCAGGGATAATAGTGAGCGAGAAGCAGTAAGTCCTCACAGACCACAGCCACAGAAATAGTCCAGAGGGACATGTGTAAACGCGCGCGCAGGCTTGAAAATACCTGTAAAAAGACAAAGGGTTCAGGAACTCTTAGAGAAGAGAAAACCTATTTCCAGCTAAAGTCCCACGCAGTGTAGATGTGGGTCCAGTCAGATCCCATGGGGAGAAATCCGAATGATTCCCTCCATAGTGAATATTAGAATACGGGATGGAGCAGAAGTCCCGTCCTTTATTTACTCTAGTAAGGGAGGCAGGGATGGATCCCCGAAAGTGAGAGTTTTTGACGAATCTTGGGGTGAGATTCGAAATATTCTCATGAAAAGTTGGGACGCCCTAGATGAAGTGGAAACAAGAGAAGGATCTGAAAGAGGGTCCTTGGCTCCTAGTTTCATCCCTCCCATAGAGGGAAATGAACGCATTTCGAAGAACCACTTAGAATATATTTTGGAAAGGGACAGAATTTAATTGTTCTCAAAGAAGGGCGCTTGGAATTGGAAGAGGAATCTTGTGTTTTAGTGAACGCGGCTAATAAAAATCTCCAACACGGGGCTGCAGTAGCCGGGGACCTTAGAAAACGAGCAGGACAGAGGTTCCAGGGAGAGTAAGATAAACTGATACAGTGCAGAAGGACTCCCCTTAGAACAGGTGATGTAATTTTGCAGAAAATAGGAAGACCAAATGGAAAACCATTAATACATGCGATCGGACATGAAAAGGGCAGAAATGGGAATCTTCAAGAACATTTAACAGCTATGCTTACGGTGGATACTCTGGTAGATAAAATATGTGCGCTAGCCAGAGACAATGAATATCGCGTAGTGGCTATGCCAATAATATCAGGAGGGATTTTTGGATTTAATTAAATCGAAATGGGAGCAGCCCTCGTGACAACATTATTAAGAAAAACTGACCAAACTGACTGGCCTAAAATGTGGATAATCTGTCATCCAGATGCCACAGTGTTAAAAAATATAACACAAAGAGTGAACCAAGATGCAGTGGCTGGAGAAGGGAGGTCAGATCAGGGAGCAGGTCCGAGACAGGAAGCAACAGATGCCAGAGCCGAAACTTCAGAATATGATTCAGATCCTGAATGGCCAGTATTAAGGCAGACAGAGACTTCTAAAAGAAAGAAAGATCAGGTAGAAAACCCCTTTCCTAAGTTAAAAGTCGGTAATACTTATGAAACATTCCGGCTAGGGAAAGAATCTTACAGACCCACACATGCTAAGAGTAGAAAAAGATAAACTACTTTAGACAGACAAAATATGTGGGATACCGAATATGCTCCAGGCATAACATGTGGACAGGTATGGTGTTTGCTCAATGGAGGGGCTGCTACGGTGATCCTCGCAGACACCTCATCAACTCAACGTGCTAAACGAGCAATTTTAGCTCAGAAAGATTTGACAAATAAAGCCGCACTTGAAAGAATAATTAGGAGTGCGGTAGGCAATGATAGGTTTGATGAATACTATTCCGACGCAGGGCAGGAAAGCATCAGTTCAAACAGTAGCTCAGATGATGAGGATCAGGAAGATTCAAATTATGAGGAGTTAATAGTAGAACGGACAGAGAGAAATGTGACACCGACCCCTGTTAGAACACCGCAAGTACAGAGAAGACTCCCTTTCAGGGATAGAAAACCAGAACCACAGAGTCAGTCAGAGACAGAAACAGACCCACCAGTTGAGGTCAATGAATTAAATCAGCATTTAGAAGCATTATATTTAGGAACGCCAGGTCAAAGAAGACAGAGAACTCTCGTCAGTCAGGTGCGTTCTCCAAGACAAGCTGAGGTTAATTCTATAGGATCCAGAGCAACTCTAGAGGAATTAATGAGAAAAGACCAAGAGATGAAACTTCTGAAGAAAGCTAAATAAAAAAATACTACAGTGAAAGGAAAAGTTTGAGAATTAGTTCGATGCGGAGAACAGATGAAAATATAAGGCGAATCAACAGACTCGCACATATTGGCCGAATTTGGACTACATGGAGGCAGAAAACTAGCTAGAACTTTGGAGGGATTCATTCGACCAATAAAGAAGAAATTGAACAGGAACGTTTTGAGGAAAAGTGGCATGCAGTAGGCGCTCTATCAGCTTGTCAGGAAATGGCAGAGAAGGGTGTAGAAGGACTCTTAAAACATATTTTTCAGGCGGTAAAGAGAAATGCTCTAGTTGGAGCTAAGGAATTTATCCTGTATGGTCCGGAAACATCTCCGGAAGAATTGGAAAGAGCTTTAATCCGGTGTGATAGAAAAACTGAAATAATACAGACATAGAGAAATCAAACAACAAACCACAGCGGTCTAACGATCAACCTAGAAGGTCAGGCCGTGAAAGGAAACCATACAACCACTACGAGACAGAGAGTAGGCCCTCATCACGCCCCGAGCGCAGAACAGATCAAAAATGGAAGTGAGGGGAAGAGAGGGTAGAAAGAAGCAGCCCTAAATATCCACCCCGTGGAGGTAAAAAATTTAGGGAACAAAATCGAGACCCAGAACAGATAGAAATGAAAATAGCAAAGAAAAAGGGGGCTATATCAGCCCGGAGAAATGAGCGCAGAGGAACGTGCGTGGATCATATCAGAAAGAGGAAAGAGCAGGCCAGAAGCTAAAATAGGCAGAGTTAAAATTCATGATCCCCAAGAAAAGGTCAGTGCAGAGACTGAGGAAGTAAAGACTAGAAGGAAGAAAAGTAAGAAGAAAAGGACAGAGACTTCTGAAGAATAGGATCCGGCGGCTCCCCTTTAACATGCTTTATTAAAAACCGAGGTAATTGATAAAAATTATATAAAACTCATGATGAAACCACTTTCCGTGTTGATACAGGGGCTGATTTTAGTGTTATTAAACCCTCTGAAAAACATGCAGAATTATTGGATGTAGTGGCTGTAGAAGATTTTGAAGGTAATTCAAGAAATAAAAATGTATGGAGGAAAAATGAAATAAATGTCATTTTCGGAAATGACAATTTACTTTGCCCCGATGATCTTTTAAAAATAGGAAAAATAGGAGTAGTCGACCAGAACAAAGAAATTGAACGAATAGTAAGAGAATCAGAGTTATGCAAAAAAAAGGGGAGCTGGAAAAGCTTTTGAGGAAATATTCCGGCAGTTATTCACGAAGTAAAAATGACTGCGGAAAAGTTCAATCGAAATATGAACATATAATTCCCTCCTCCCCAGAGACAAAATAAAATTAATAGTGGAGCAGAGAAGGAAATCAGCAAAAATATTAAAGAATTAACAGACCAGGGAGTAATTAGAAGATTACAGAAAAATGAAGCTGCTCTATCGAATGCCCTGATACAGGCTGTTGCTAAGCCAGACGGGACATGGAGGCTTGTAACTAATTACAAAGCCTTAAATAAAGTCACGGTACCCGACACTAGGTATTTAATCAATTGCGGTGAAGCAAGCGGCGATATTGGCAGAGACAAAAACTAGCTATCAAAAATTGATTTGGCCAATGGTTTCTGGAGTGTTCCTCTTACATTTGGGTAATCAGTATGTATATACGATTGGGTTATAAAAACTCGCCAAACGTTTTTCAGAGCATGATGATCGAAATCCTTGCAGGAATACCAGTGACAGTCTATATTGATGACATCCTAATTAGCTCAACGACAGAGGATGAACATTTGAAGCTGCTAGAACAGACTTTAGATAGGATAACTGAAGCTGGTTTGAAACCTAGTCTAAAGAAAATAGAAATCAGAAAACACGAGGTAGACTTCCTAGGATTTAAGCTAGGTAAAGACACAAAAGCCCTAACGACAAACAAGAAATAAGTTAGAGGAAATGGAGAGAGCAGGGCCAACTAAATCACGAAAGCAATTGCAGTCGTTGTTAGGAACGCTGAACTATATCAGAGAATTAATACCCAAGTATTCTAAGGAAGTGAAGGTACACTGAAAAAAATGTGTCGTTGGATCAACTTAAACAAATTACGACAACTTGTTACATGTAATTGGTTTACTTTTTCTCAACTAAAAAAAATTAAATTTGACAAAATAAAATTTTTATAATCAACTGAAACTAAAAATTCACTTTCAACCAAATATATTTTTTACATGATTATATATCAAATTATCAGTATAAATTTATTTGGATTGACTTAACATTTTTTACATATTTTTTAATCAAATATCCAGATAAATACAAATCTAAATTGTACATATTAAGCAGTTTCTTCTTTCACCTTCAGAATGTAATTTTACTGTGTTAAATGTCACTGAATTACTGAATTTACACTCTTGAGAGTCAAACATTTTTAAATGTTTATTACATCACATTGAAATCTTCAACCCTCATTGACATGATTTCCACTTTTGGAATCTGAGAAAGAATTTACAACAGTTAATAGTGAAAATTGCTTTAAAATGGCATGACTTAATAAAAGCATAACATTCCAGAATAGAACGTTCATCCAAGAAATGTAACATCCATGTGCCATTGAAAAAAAGCCACTCACATTCCAGATGAAATAAAAGAAAAGAAGAAAATGAAAAGAAGGACTGTTTCTCACATTTGGACAAATTTGAA